TCCATCCCTGTCTGAGTTTGGAAAGCTTAATCTGTCTGGTACCAAATGTCATCTGTTACAATGTATCGAGGAACCAAACCAGACAGAGGCACCTGTATTAGATTACTGCAAAGTTCTGGATGGTGCGGTGACAGTACATGCATTGTCTGTAACAAATGTCTCAACATTCCAGGAATATGCTGACAACGTGTTTATACCCCATTTGGAACGTCAGCTGCGTGACACAAAGTGAGTGGATGTTGTGTGGGACGAATACCGGCCAGATAGCTTGAATGAGGGAACCAGGGAGAAACGAGGCAAAGGTGTGCGTAGAAAAGTATCAGGTGACACCAAGCTGCCGGGCAACTAGAATGACTCTCTATTATCCAATCAACAAGAAGGAACTCTTTGAATTCCTGTCGGCAAACTTTGCGGATTGCAGCATCCCTCATGAGTGTTCGGTATATATCACAGCTGGAGAGCATGTTGCATGTGTTGGAACGCAGATCGAAGTGTCCAACTGCAATCAGGAAGAAGCAGACACTATGATTGTGGTTCACGTGAAGCATGCTTTGGAGAATGGAGCAAAATCCATCCAGGTGCGAACTGTGGACACAGACGTCGTTGTTGTTCTCACCGGTGTGTTTCATGACCTCTCTCAGATAAATGCTGATCTTGATCTCTGGGTAGCGTTTGGAACTGGAAAGAACTACACTCATTACAGCATCAACGCCATTTGTGCCCGTCTTGGTGAACGTAAATCACGTTTCCTGCCCGTTTTCCACTCCTTGTCAGGATGTGATACTACATCGGCGTTTAGAGGCAAAGGGAAGAAATCGTTCTGGCAGGCATGGAATGCTTATGAGCAAGTTACTGATGCATTTGTTTATCTTGCCGCACATCCGTTTAAGCATCTTGACTTACATTCTAAATCATTTCAAAGAATCGAGAGACTAGTTGTCGTAGTTTATGACAAAACAAGTAACGAGATGAATGTTAACAGTGCTCGGATGGAGCTGTTCAGCCAGAAAAGCCAAGCTGTTGACAAGATACCACCTACTCAGAATTCCTTGAGCATAGAGATATATCTCCGCTATAAATAAAACAAGTGATTGATTCGATTCATTCCTCAATAAACGTTTAATCTTCATTAGAGCAATACCCGTGCAAAAGGTTGAAAGTATCCTTAAAATAACCGTCTGGTTTGACCAAAAATGACTATACACTACTACGTTATATTAATGTATATTTTAATATGGGAGCATTATCCTACACGAAGTGAATTGATACTACGTTGTGAAGTCCCCTAGGTTCCAGCAAAACGAAAAAAAAACTCATTTCCCAGTGTTTTATCTATAAACATGTGTGTCTGCTTGACATACAGTGATCACCTCAACTTCAATCTGACTACATTTTTATATCCATGACTTTTATAACCCATGGCTGTGCATTAAATTGTGCAATCCAGATGCAATAGCAAAACAGTAAATACTTTAGAAAAATAAATGGACATGGAATAGAACATACTGTGACACGTATCTGATAAATTTTATATTATATTATTTATATGATAATATTATTATATTATACTATTATACTATATTATAATAATATTAAATGATGTTGTATTCTGTTATATGATATCAGGAGTGAATAATAATAGAATATTATAATCTATTATTATTCAATCCTGATTATATATCGTATAAGACCTCCCTTTACTTTCCTTTCCGTCACTCCTGTCCCCCCTCCATTCCTCTCATAAGCCCTCCCCACACACCCAACATTCTTTTCTCAACTATTCATCCTTTCTACTGCTCATTATAACTCGGTTCCTCCCTCTTCAATATCCCATCTTTATGAACTGCTCTGCTGTCTCTTCCAAATTCGAACAAACTGCTTTCCTCTGACCTCAACTCGTCTCAATCATGTATAATTACAATATTTTGCGATACTGCCTTTAATTTCTTTTATTATAATTATATAATTTCAAGTTAGTCATCAATCTAGTACTTTCCTACTTGGAGCAGTTGTTCTTGTTTGCAAACACTTGTCTATGTGACCAATTGTTCTCTGAGTTACTTTACATTTACATCCTGTTCGTGACACATGTCCTTTAAAAAATCCTTCATCATCAAGGGCAAACTCCATGACAGATGGCGCTCTCGCTCATGGGCTCAATCTACCACTGCCACAAGCAGATTTCCATTACAATTTGTAACGCTTTTTGACTACAAGTTTTACACACCAGCCACGTTACTCGTATCCTATGTAATAAGATTTGGATAAATAAAAGTTGCAAAGATTTTAAAAATTCAACCATTATTTTATGAAAAATTTGATAAAATAGTGATACGAAATAGTGTGCGTATTGTGCGCCCATTTACTACTTTCAAATCATGCGCTGTTTACGAATCACCATTCGCTAGATTTCCCCGGAGCTCCGCCCACTTAAAAAATAGTGCTAGCATTGTGGCAGTGGTATCATGAGTGTACGAAGGTACACTGCCTGCAGGTTGCATCAAGGGTACTACCAAAAAACACAAGATAGTTGGAAGGTAGTATGCAAGTACTACTTAGTGATTATGAACGTCATATATCAGGGTTCGACACTAACGCTAGTCCGTTAGTCCAAGACTAGTAAAAAATAAGGACTAGTAAATGCCCCATAGCCGTTAGTCCTGCGTACTAGTTATTTTCCCCGTCCCTGACCGTCCCAATTTCCCATCCTTCCATCGATTTTACTATAGTCCCCGGCGGCAGCTTCTCTCAACCAAGATCCAAAGAGCTTTATAAATTATATATCATTGCCATCAACAAGTTTTCCCTGTTTAATAGACGCGCTAGTACAAATAGACGCTAGCACGCCTTGCACGCTCTAAGCACGCTAGACCCTATGACAGTACAAACATTGTTAAAAACAATGGGACCACGAACCAGTCTACTGATCGATCGCTTGACAGTAGCTGTTGACATAGAACAAATGGTCTGATTGTATAAATGACACAACTAATCAGTTTATACGCTCTCATAGCGAGGTATTTACATCGCAACCACATCGCATGCGTGTTTTACTTGAAGCTGTCGATACAAATAGTTATCTATAGTAGTGATACAAGTAGTGAATCATAGTACAGGGTTTCTTCTGAGAGAAAACTAGACAAAGGAGGTAATGGCCAGTTTGGGAAAAAAATTTGCATGATGGATTCAAATACAGGATGTATTGATATACTTATAGGTATATAGATACATGATATATACTTATCACTAAATACAGGAACATTTTCACAATGGCGATGTTAAATTTGACAACGGCGGTGCGCCACTGTGTCTCTTATGTATAAGAAACCATGTAGTAGTAGGTACATCCTTATCCAATACTAACATCAAGGTTGTTATGTGAAAGTATTTGGACAGAGTTGCAGGTGGAGAAATTAGATGGCCAGCGTGTCTATGATAAGACCAAAAGGATGCGTACGCTCCAGCCAGCGTGGAAATCGTCATACCCGTGGCTAGAGTATGACCCGGCCAAGGGCAAGGGTATGACCTGTGGTGCAGGCTGTATGTCTGGTAGTTTTTTCACCGGCACTAGTTACAAACTATCGTTTGGAAACTGTTAAAGTGCATGATGCTTCCGAGGGGCACAGAAAGATCATAGCAAAATGAAATGCAAGGACCATGCCTGTTCACGAAACAGTGGGGGCAAAAACACTAACTTTAATGAACAAGGCCACAATAGCAATAGCAAAACTGAATATCCTAATTAGAAATGCACATGCTATTGGAAAAAAACGGCAGGCCCTACACCGATTACGTCAAGCTGTGCCAGCTTGACAAGGCGAAGGGGTTAGATGTCGGCAGCACTTACCTCACCAACAAGGCCTGCCAGAGGTTCATTACGGTGATAGCCGATACAAGGCGCTGGGAACAGTTCGGAGCTATAAATAAGGCCAAATTCCTTGCTGTGATAAGTGACGAATCCACAGATTCCTCATCAAAGAAGGACAAATTTTTATTTTCGAATTAAAATTTAATTTAATTTAAATCTTATGATCAATATTAAAGTTATGCATATTTTATACAATGAATGTCTTTTACAAAACCTTTCTGGGGGACACCCCTTGTACCCTGGGGGACCCCATGTATCGGTACAAGTAGCGTGTACACACCCATGTCGTGAGTTTGGTTAGGATTAGGGTTAGGGTTAGGGTTTTTAAACCTGGGGTTGTCAAATAGGAATGGGCCCATGTATCCCCTAGCAGAAGGGGGGCTCCACCCTCCTACTCCACCTACCTCCTGGCAAATCACAATGCTCGTCGCTCTGCGCCTAGTAAGAGTCCTTCGGCAGAACTAGTAGAATCTTGGAAGGACTAGTACATTTTTACTAGTCAACTCTCCAAACCTGAGAATTCGTAACAGCTGGAATATTCTCACTATGTTCTGATGTAATTTATTAAACAATTCTCATTGCCAGTGTCACTGTCATTGACATCTTGTAATTCTTGACTAAATCAGTAGGCCCCTATTATTATTATTATTAT